GGATTATTTTTTAGTAGGTCAGGTTGGGTAAGATGATCCATGAACAAATCTGTGTAGGATATGACAAAGGATATACTCTACATTTATGTATGTTATTCTTGAAATGTAAAGATTATAAGTTAGAGTTGGTTCGTCTTTTCGTGGTGTAATCTATTCTAAATTTGAATCTCATGCTCCATAAGTGTGCTCATATTTTTGTAGATTTATTTTGAAAAGGAACACTGTTATTTATTCTCCAAAGTGCTTATGGGAGCAGTGTACGCGTCATAAAAATAAGTGTATGTGTGTATATTCTGTAAAAGACAACTTACTCAACAAAAGCATGAACAACTTTGAGTACAACGATTGTCACATAAGCCGAACCCTTTGTCGACCAGGTGAACAAAAACAAACCCCTAAGCAGGCTGATTGGTTTGGCCCTATTGACGTACCCATGCCAACTATAAAAAGTTGTCGTGCATGTCAACTACTCTCTCCATCCCAAAATATATGTCGTTTTCATTTTTCGAAAAACAACTTTGACAGAATATATATTAAAAAATATTAATATTTATGATACATAATTGGTATTATTGAGAAGATCTTTGAATCTACTTTTTTAATAAATTTATTTGGAGATACAACTGTTGCACGTATTTTCTACAAATCGAGTCCAGCTTGTGGCGTGGAAACCAAAAGCGATAGATAATTTAGGATAGAGGGAGCAAGTATCTTCGGTTAAGATCCTTATAGCGAAATACATACATCTAGGTTTAAGCCTTCTGACTTGGCACTAATACTCATATTTCTTTATTTTTATTCTAGGATTTTCATACTGTGTTTATAAAGTAAAGGTAAGTATACGTGCCTGGCATCCCAAATTAGCAAATACTCCCTCTGTCATGAGGATTCCAACATTTCTCAATTTTGACCAGATCTATAAAAGAATACTCACATTTATAACACCAAATAAGTATCACTAGCAAATATGCTCATGCATTGCAACGGAAAAAATATCAAACACTCTAGAGAACGGTCATGATATAAGCCAATATTTGCATTATAATATTGAATAAGACAAACTATCAAACAAGAAGTCTGAAAATAAAAAAAATCACTTATTTTGGGACGGAAGGATTAGGTATCCTTAATAGGTTAGAATCCTTACGGTGAAACTGAAACATACCATTTGGGTTTAAAAATTTAACTTAGCACTGATGTTTATTTTAGGATTTAACGGTCTTTATTCTTTCACAATAAACGATGTGGTCATCGATAGCAAGAAGTTATGTTTTGCATCTCTATGGGTAACTATACGCTAGAGTTTGAAAGCATCTGCACAGCTTGGCATCCAAATACTCCCTCTATCACGAGGATTCAAGCAGTTTTAAGATTGACTAGAAAAAAGATTGACAACTAAACCTCTTTTAATAGTTTTCAGGTGAAAACTTCTTTTATACTCTCTGTATCTTATTATTTTTCACCTAAAACCTTTATTTTCCATGCATGCGTCCAATTTACTCCGTCCTCTAGAGAAAAACACCGGATGGAGAGCGGATATAAAGTTCCTCTCGACCATGAAAACTTACAAGTTAGAGAGGAATATGTGATAACTTTTTATTTTTTAAGAAGCTATATTTACCAAACTGTTGGAAAAGACTTTTTACCTTTTTATAAAAACTCAAAATAGGAAGTTGTCCTACAAAACTCTTAGAGATGCTCTTAGATTCATCATCGAATGTAATTTATAGCATACCTAGTTGGTGTCAGAATTTGTTGATAAACTTCTCTGTAAATCTGATCAAACTGCTAATCGAGCATAACTTAGTAGGTTGGGTTCTTTGTTGTAGAATCTGCCTATTTGATTTGAAATCTTGAGTTGTGGTGATTGCTCGCATTTAGATTTTTTTTCTAGATACAAACGTTGTTCTTTCAGTGGTAGACACGTGTCTATCGTCAACAAGATGCCTACAGTAACTTCATTAGTCTTGACTTCTGTCGTTTCGGTCTTTATCTTATGTTCATAGGGGTAATGATCAAACTTAAGATAATTTAACTTAAAACAAATCTAGAATGATATGTTTCTTTGGACGAATGCGGTAATAGTTACTCCCTCCGTCACAGAATATAAGGCGTAACCATCTCTGGATCAAAGACCAACGAACGTATTTAATTCTCTTTCTCAACACTAGTATCACCGTACCGATGCACATGTGTTTAGAGAGAGCACGTCTTATATTATGGGACTTGAACAAAAAATGGTTATGCCTTGGATATCAGGACGGAGGTAGTATTAGTTAGAGAAGTCGGTGTTAATGTCTGAGTGCATCATTTATTTATGACTAGAGGAAATTATAACAAATCTACACATGGTTGAGCTAGTATAACGTAACGCCGGCACGAACTGAGTGGCGCGCCAACTACATGGGAAACCCACGCGCACATTACACGCACAAAATGACATCATTATTGTTCTACAATAATCAGCCGGGCATTTAGGCACGTTAAGGTCTCCATCACATTCATAGATATGCTTCACATCCCTGCTTGCAGCAGGTTGCCTAGTGGGCGTGGACACCAGCTCGGAGTCGACGTGAGGATGACTCGAGATCGGGATTACTCTAATCGGCCAATAATTGCGAGGCGCACTCGCAAGCTATTTTACAGTCAATAATTGCGAGGATTACTCTAATAGTCAGTCAAATGCATGTGGATGCCAATTCTATGCTTGCAAGTTGTGGGAATGTCTTGCGGAAGATGCGGAGCGGAGGGATAAGCAGAGAGCTCCAATTAGTGCAGGTTGTTTAACAGCTGAGCTAGCAGCATTAGCATTGGTACGGTCTCTCCAGAGCAATTTTTAGAGAGAGAGAGCGAAAAAGGACGGCCAGGTTATTTGATTATTTTTCTTAACAAAGTTTTGGGACATCTGGTAGTACTGAGAGCGAGGGCCAATTAACCAAAAGGCATGTGAAAAAAGAGTAAACTTTTGTTTAAGAACAAGCGAGCAGAGGAGAGGAGCACGCAGTGAGGCACTAAGAGTCAAATCTTGCCGACAGAGACAGCCTTTATGCTTGATGAGAAATACGGCATGCCTCTTTTGATGCCATGCTATTTTGTTCCTCACCGCCCGTTGTGACTTGTGACGCCTTTTATATATAGACTTTGATCAAAGTGGCTGTGCATTTGTGCTAAATAATGAATGATGCCCCGATCGTTCAGTCAATAGCCAGATCTCTATTATGAAACTTGGCTAATCGCATAAAAGAAATCTGATGATAGATCTTGATTTCGAATTAAGCACCTGCGCGCTGAGCACATATACTACATGAGCTAGTTATTTTAAGATCAGTGATACGGATTTTAAGATCAGTCATATCTCTACGTGAGCTAGTTATTTTAAGATCAGTCATATCTCTATTCTCTTCACTATTTATTTATAGGACATAAACAAGAGGAGCCACGATTCTTTTATTTGACATATATAAAATGGAATCCATCAAAATAATAATAATATTTTAGGACCCTCATAAAATATATACCAAGAACGATTTAGACTCCATCGGACCAATGCTGTTAATAATTAGCTAGCTAATAGCTCACGTCTAATAAACTTATTAGTTGCCAAATTAGTATCTAACTAATTATTAGCTGAACGCTACTTGGATCCACCAGCTAATTGATGGTTGGGTATTGAATTGGAATTGTTTAAAATCCTTTTGTCTCGTGTGTGGGGTGAGGAGCAAAGGATAGTGGAAAGGCAAAAGGGTTTTGCCAATCTATTAGTTGTTACTTATTAGCTAAGTTTGTCTTGTTAGCAAGATAACCATTGGTTTTCAGCTAAAGGTAATAAGCCTGTTTGGATTGCTAGCTAATGTATCAAACAAGCCATAGGTAAAAAAAAAAACGCACAACAATCTCGCCGCAAAAAATCCTCTACAGATTTGCACAATACAATTGTCTCACGGACTAACCAAACTTGCTGGCGAGATACCAATCACGATTATGAAACTTGGACGAATCCAGAGGAAGAAAAAAGAAAAGAAAAAAACAATCAACGGGGGAGCCAACGGAACTGCTAATTTGGGTTTGGTAACCACGCTATACACACGCAGTTTCCAGCTCAATAACCCCATATCAAATCTATCTTTTGTAGGGTGCCAAAATAAGATTTGCCTCCTTTTTAGTCCGTCCAAATAACAACATATTAAGCCGGTGGAATTAACGTGTGCAAAACGAATATATGGAATAAGGCCATGTTCGCTTTGTTAAAAAGCCATGGCTAAAAACACTATTCGCTTATCTATTTTGAAAAAAAAATATTGTCCGTTCGTTAAAATAGTGTGACTCATAGAACAAGCGAACAATGCCTAAGAACATAAAACAATGCTATGGTTATCCTGTACGAGTACGACCAACTCAAAGCAGGGATTATACTCGTGTTGTGCCCACACTTTAACACTGATCATACAACTGAGGTCATACCCAGTAGTATATTTAGCTAATTTCAAACAAAATCAAGTTAAAAATCGCCACCATAAAAAATTGGCCTAGAAGATAAAACCTGCCAGCCCGAGCAATTAATAAGCTTAAGCTTTTTTGGCTGGGCTGGCTGGATCGTGGATTATTCACTGCTAGCTGGTTTGGTGTGAGAGAAAAATACTGTTCCAGCTTATAATCCACAATCGTATACGATCGTTTACGGTCTGCCGAACAGACTGCTCGTTACGTACATAGTACTTATATAATCTAAAATTTTGCTCTTCGGTACATCTCGTGAGAATGACGTGGTACGTTATGCTTGTCAGACGTGACTATAGAAAAGCACAGTCTCAGTCGTCAGCGTGCCCTAACAATGCAATGCAACCAGGAGCAAAATTCCGTTTGTTTCTCTCCTCAACGATCCAATTCCTCAGCGCGCGTCGGAGTCGGACTCTAGTGGACCCGACCAGGTTAGGGTTTGGGCCAGCCCAGCCAGCTCGTTGGCCCGGCGGGCCCTGCCCAGCCCTCACGCCCACTAGCCGCTATAAATAGCGTCGCTGGTCGCCCACCCTGTCTCCACCCATCCCAAGAACAACAGAGCCGCACCGCACCTCCCTCCGCGCCTTCCAGCCCTTCTCCCAACCCAGAGGAGCAAGCCGCCCCGCCGCGCCGCGTCTCGGCGTCTCCTTCCCATTGCAACCAACCTCTGTTCCGCGCGAGCAGCAGCGCCTCGTCATCGTCACCTCCTTCCTCCCTCTCGCCTCTCGGCCGGTCCTTCCAAGGAACCCGCTGGTCTCGGCGCCGCCGGCGGTCGCGTTCTGGACGGACGTGAGTTTTCCTTCCTCCCGTCTTTTCCTTGCGCTCTGTTTGCTCATCCTGCTGCCGTGCCTTGCGTTGTGCGAGGAGAGGCCGGCGGTTTCGTCTGTGGTAGATTGTAGTACGTTGGCTTGGATGTTGGATCTTGGTGGGTTTTTGAGGGCGCTTTTGCTTTTCGTCGGGAGAGACGCATCAGCTCTGTTTTAGGCCCTAAGTTTGAGGTCGCCTTCCTCGCCCTGTTTGTTGGAGGTGCCGGAAAATTTACATTTTTTCCCCGCAGGGTCTAACGGGGCGGTAGATTGGATCTTGCCAGGGCCTAGGGGGCGTCGTGCCTGCAAAACCGTTTTTTTTTGTGGTTGTTTAAAAAAAAAGTCAATACTGCGCAGTAAATACAAGTTATATTTCTTCCCGTTGTCGTATGTATTGTCGTTGTTTATCATATTCAAACCCTCGGATTGCCATGTCCAAGAAGCTAAGATTTCTTGTTTATGGGGAACGTGCCGACTTTCTTGTAATCTTCAAGAAGGTCCACCTGCACTCTGTTTTTCAAATCTTCTATGCCCTTGTCTTCTTTTGTAAGACACAAGATACGACATTGGCAAGAGATAATAAGGTTCAGATTATACGAGCCATTAGACTTTTTTTTAGCCTTCTTTGAGAGACTTTTAGATACAAATTAGCTTCTTTCAAATGGTCCGTTGTTCTTCTGGGCACATAACAAGGTTCAGATTATACGAGCCATTAGACCTTTTTTTTGTGTGGCCTTCTTTGAGAGACTTTTGGAACGGGCGCTTGTTTACAAATTAGCTTCTTTTAAATTGACCGTTGATGTTCTTCTGGGCTATGTTGCCACAATGATGCTACGTGTACTTTATGTATATATGTAACCCACGGTTTTCCAGAAGAAAATTACATGATTATAACAGACTGGAACAAACAATTTTCTTAATGGGCTTTGATTATATCAGTTGGGAATTTGGGATGGAGTTAAGCTTGTCTTTGTTGATTAATAATACCTGAAGAAATGTATGGAGTTGCCACTGCAATTTTGTATGCTATTCAGCATTTTTTTACTCATTAGCTCTTTCCTCTTTAATTGAAAAATTGCTTATCAAATAAACTATTGTGTACTCTCGATTCTCAAACATTTGCACACATCTATATCTGCTACCTTAGAATTTGGATCCTGATAATTGCTAATCGTCTATGCTGTTCTGCTGCCTAAGAAGGTAACTTACTCTGTTTTGATCGACAGTTTTAAGAAGGGGACATTTGTGGATGCTCTAATGGAGTCTAAAGGTGGCAAAAAGTCTAGTAGTAGTAATTTCATGTACGAAGCTCCCCTTGGTTACAAGATTGAGGACGTTCGCCCAGCCGGAGGAATCAAGAAGTTCCAGTCTGCTGCTTATTCCAACGTAAGAACTTGTACAAGCAATGCTGTTCTAATTTTATTGCTCATTGATGCATTTCATGCTTTGGTTTCGGATACTTATTATTTGATTGATTTTTTTGTTTTGCAGTGCGCCCGCAAGCCATCCTGATATCACCTCACATGCAATTCACAGTAGAGTAGGATTTTAATTCAGTTTTTCTCTTGCTTCGGTAGTTCTCCCTTGGCTGGCTGCATCCTCTGCTTGTGAGATTCCAAATTGTCTTCACCATCCTCTCCCTTCCTCTCTCATCCTTTCTTCCTTGCAACACATCATCCAATGGCGATGTCTTCGGCTGATTCTTGGGGCTCTTCTCCTGCCTCCCCTATTGGGTTTGAGGGCTATGAGAAGCGCCTCGAGATAACGTTCTCTGATGCACCTGTCTTTGAGGACCCTTGTGGTCGTGGCCTGCGTGCCCTCTCTCGTGAGCAGATCGACTCGTTCCTGGATCTTGCACGGTGCACCATAGTGTCACAGCTCTCCAACAAGAACTTCGACTCATACGTTCTGTCCGAGTCGAGCCTCTTTGTGTATCCCCACAAGATTGTCCTCAAGACCTGTGGAACGACAAAGCTGCTGCTCTCCATTCCTCGCATCCTTGAGCTTGCTGCAGGGCTGTCACTGCCTGTTCTTTCAGTGAAGTACTCTCGTGGGACTTTCATCTTCCCTGGTGCGCAGCCAGCGCCGCACCGCAGCTTCTCAGAGGAGGTATCTGTGCTGAACGGTTTCTTTTGTAACCTCAAGTCTGGTGGCAATGCCTACGTTATCGGTGACACGTTCAAACCCAACAAGAAGTGGCATGTCTACTATGCCACAGAGGAGCCTGAGCATCCCATGGTGACACTTGAGATGTGCATGACAGGGCTGGATGCTAAGAAAGCTGCAGTGTTCTTCAAGAACTCTGCTGATGGCAGCTGCACATCAGCTAAAGAGATGACAAAGCTCTCAGGGATTTCTGAGATCATCCCTGAGATGGAGATCTGTGACTTTGAGTTCGACCCCTGTGGGTACTCGATGAATGGCATCTTCGGACCTGCTGCCTCCACCATCCATGTGACACCTGAGGAAGGTTTCAGCTATGCAAGCTATGAAGCGATGAACTTCAACCCTAGCTCCCTAGTTTACAGTGATGTGATCAAGAGGGTCCTGGCAGGCTTCTCTCCTTCGGAGTTCTCAGTTGCCGTTACCATCTTTGGTGGCTGTGGGTTTGCCAAATCATGGGCAAAGGGTGCAGATGTCGATTCCTACATGTGCGATGATCTTGTGGAGCAAGAGCTTCCTGGTGGCGGTCTGCTGATGTACCAGAGCTTTATTGCTGTTGCATCTGGCACCGTGTCACCGAGGTCGACCTTGGAGATGGATGGCTGGAGCAGTGATGGCATGGAGACGGCTGCGAAGAGCGATGAGATGTGTATTGGCTGCTGGGATGTAGCGAAGAAGGTGGTGAAGAAAGATGTGGACGCCTGAGTGAAGCTTGAGGTTTCTGAGACCTCTGTTGGCCCTGTTCTTGTTTCAGTTATGCAGTTGGCTGGCCTGCCGGCAAGATGTTTCCTTTGTATTTTCCTGCTCAATAAGTGCTCTAGATGGTTTGCTGCGTCTTCCATAGTGAGCTGCATATTATTGTCTTGTCATTTTATTTCTGCTGCCGAAGCCCTTGTGGGGAGAATGATCTTGTAATAAACTTGCCTATTTCCACAATATATTGGAATTTTCGGTTAATCATCTATTTGTTATCACTCTTGCTGTTGTGATTAGCACATGTAGCACATTTTACACTATTTTTTAATATCTTGAGATTATTTGTCTTCTTAGTCAGTGGGTCTTCAATGACTGATATTATTCTTGTTCTCAGCAGAAGCCATTAACGTATCAGTAGTGTTATTTAATGAGTTCCATAGTCTTAGTATGAACCCCAAGTTTTGTCAATGTTTTGATTCACACTCTTGTTGGACAGATTTGTAACTGTTAATTTACTTTAGAAGTTGAAGAAGATTGTCACTATTCAAAAATTCGTGCTGGATTGCTACTCGTACCATCGTTGCTTATATATAGTTCTCCGGTTATGCTGTAAGAGTTGGGAGGGTCGGCGTCAGCAATGTAGTATTTCTCAGAGTCTTAACACAACAAAGCTATCAGAATTTGCTTACAAAATCAATGTTTTTTTTTCATGAAAACGCAGGAGAGCTGCGTTTTATTATATTATATAAGATAGTCCGTAGAATTTTTTCACAAAAGCACCTGAGTGTGAAGAAAAGCAAGCCTGACCACATGCGCACCCGAACTCGGAAGTTGCTCTGGTGGCACAGAGTTCAAAAGTATTAAGATAGAAGTGAATTTGACAGCGAATTGCTCTTGCATTCCCAGGTTCAAATAAACATTTGCTATGCAATAAATCGCGCGTGAAGCACTGGCTCTACTCGCCAAATAAACTCCCTAGCTTCAACTTCGGCGTCAATCCCACTGTCTCGCTTATTGACGAATGACCTGAATTGTCAGCAGTTCCAGGTTCAAATATTCAAGAATTCTGGATAAAGGAGACGTGAAGAACTGGCTAGACTCGCTGGATCAAACTCCCCAGAGTCAACTTCGAAGTCATTGGTGTCTCACTTATTGACGAATGAGCCTCCGAAGTATGCGATTCTTTGTCATTCAAGAATTCTGGATCAAGGAGACGACAAGAAATAGTGAATGGCAAGTGATTCACACGCAACCAAGGTTTGCCACCAAGTTTTTGGCAATCCAGGGACAAAACTGGACCATTGATCTCTCTTTTGTGGCTAGCTGGCTGGCTGGCTGCTAAAAATGGAACAAGGACCAGAGTGGATGGATCTTAGGAGACGACAAGAAATAGTGAATGGCAAGTGATTCACACGCAACTAAGGCCCGCCACCACCCTTTTTCCAGGCAATCCAGGGACAAAACTGGACCATTGACCTCTCTTTTGTGGCTGGCTGGCTGGCTGGCTGCTAAAAATGGAACAAGGACCATTATACTTGGATGGCATCTTATCTTAAGGCCTCAGAGTCACAGAGATGTCAGCTTTTCTTTGGAAGTAGGTGGTGTGTGCGCGCCACAAATCTTGAGCATCCTGCTATATCTCATTTTTTAAAGATGAAGTACTGCTATATCATTATGATCAAGCAGGGAGTGACATGCATTGTTCTTTGCGGTGTTTTGAATCGTTTATCACAACAAAAAAGAGCAATTATCTTGTTGGGAAAAAAAATCTGTTACAAGATAATATTTTTTTGTTTATATGTATGATCCGCAACACAAAAAAGTAAACCAGCACTTGAATAGTTGTGGCCTTGATGGGTTATTAACTGTTCATATCTGATCGATTACCTGCAACTATTCATATGCTGCTCTATTTTCCCCCCTCTTCTTGCACAGAGTATTTGTTTGAGCTCAAATTTTTCATGCAGGTTTAGTTGTACCGTACGTGTTACACCAGATACGTTCTCCAATAAGTTAATGTGGAAAAGTACATCAGATTACAAGTTGTAGAGAACTATGGATTTCTGCACTAAATGACTCTGCTTGTATCATTGGTCTTGGTTACTTACAACACTTATAGTGGGACCCTCAAGATCGCACTCTGTTTGGGGACAAAACACAAAAGTGGAGCCTTGAGGGCTTTGACCTCATGGTGGCAGCTAAAACATAAATTTAGGCATGTTATTAGTACTCATAAAGGGATGACAATACAGTCAAAACTTTGCCAATTAAAGATATCAGTGTGTTACAGTTATGGATTATCTGTGGTAGCACAATTCTTTTAGCATCTAGCAATGCCTCATGCGTACATTTAAAGCTGGGATTGCTGCTCATGTGGCACAAGGCACTCCACTTTTCTACATGAGGATAAACTACAATTACTTAGGTTGTGAAAGCGTTCTTTTTTTTTCGTCATTTGAAAAAGATGGTAAGTATTTGACTCTATTTTATTCGTATGTCACATCACAGTGTGCAAACTCTAATACTCTATGGTTCACGAGCTTTGAGGAAGCTCTTGCAGAGCTTCAGCCAGAACTCCCGGTCCGGCGCGGTGGTCTCTAGCTGCCTCTTCACGGCCTCAGCAAAGGGAATCTGCAGCGTGCGAGTGGCAAAGCGGAATCAGCACGAGGTCAAGAACAATGCTTCAGAGTTTAGATGCAGAGAGCAACGCGACTACTTGTCTGTTTGAATTTGATGAGAGAAAGCCATCATTGAAGGGGAAGTGAAGGCTGAGGCACTCACAGTGATGGATCCGGCGGCGAGAAGGCGGTCGACGAGGCTGAGGAGGATGTCCTTGGTGTACTCCGGGTGCCCCTGGATGCCCAGCACGTGCTCGCCGACGCAGAACATCTCGACGTCGGTCTTGTCGGAGGAGGCCAGCACCTCCGCGCCCTCCGGCACCTCCCACACCTGCTCGATCGGCCGGTCGACGACACCATGCATGCCAATGCCATGCCATGATGCACGCAAGGAGCAAGAAACGCCGCGTCAGATATGCCAGGAACGAAACGAAGGCGTGTGTCGTTCTAGTGGATGAGTGTCCAACGGTGTATGTGGAAATGGCTGCGTTCAAGCCAGTGCATACGCACGCACCTCGTCTTGATGGACCTCAGTGATCTTGGCGCGGGGTGGCATCTGGTCACGCTCCCGCAGCGCGTCGAGGAACCTGTGCGGCGGCAGCGCCGGCTCCTCCGCGATGGCCACCTCCCTGACGCCGACGTCCCACCCAGCGCGGGCCTTGCCCACGCGCCCCCCAGCGCGCGGCAGATCACCTGGTGGCCGAAGCAGACGCCGAGGACGCGCTTGCGCATGCCGTGCAGCGCCTGCACCAGCAGGCATAGACGCAGGATCCACAGGTCGTCGGCGTAAGCGTCGTGCGGGCTGCCGCTGATCACGAACCCGTCGTAGCACTCCAGTTCGCCCGGCGCCGGGAGCTCGCCGTCGATGGCCCGGTACAGGTCCCACGTCTCGCCAGCGTCGCCGAACGCCGCCACGAAGACGTGGAGGTACCCGCCGTACTTCTTCAGCACGTACTCCGAGTCGTGCGCCGCCATCAGCAGCGCGTACCGCCCGCCCGTCGTCGTCGCCGTCGCCGCTGCCTCCGCAACCATGGCTGCCATATCAGCAATCGATCTCGGTCCTTTGCCCTTGGAGGAAGAAGCTAGGAGAGGTCTTGCGATCGAGCTGAAATGGCGACCGTCTCAGCTCAGCTCCTGAGCTTAACGAACAAGATTTGAAAATGTGTGTGCTGTGTGTCAGCAATTGGAGGGAGATGCAGAGCAATTTATAGAGGCCGGCCGAGCGACGGAGAACAGGAGCTAGCCAATGTGCAGAGGAGCATGTGGCCACACTGCATTATGCCAAGTCGGAGGCGAGGCGGCGTGACACCAAATCGGGGAGAATGTTGACAATTCGGTGGGCAGCCTCGGATGGGACGATTCCTTTGATCGATCGTGCGGCCATCCGACAATTCACACTGAAACTTTCATGCATGGATAAGTAGTTAGCCGCCGGCCGCGTCGGTTGGTTCGTCCCCGGCCGCGGATGCTCTCCTCTCCAGCTTTTTGACTGTCATCATGATTTGGGACCAAATCTCGGAGGTCCATCGATGTGGTCTTGTTGACGGGTACTGCATGGCTGCCGCCGTCTACTGCGCGCGATCGAGCTTAACGAGAACTTACGTCAAAAAGAGCATGTGCTAAAATTCCAACATCTATTTACTTTGATATAAACTAGCAAACGTGTCCGTACGTTACAATAAAATCTTAAAATTAGACTCCATACCATGCTAGGCGCAAGTCGTTTTCTCTCGCATGCACTATAGGTCACGGAGGGCATAAGGGCACTTTGCATTTGGAAAGCAAAAATGACAAATGGAAGAATAGATATATAGATATAAAATAGATATAGATATAGATAAATACATAAAAAATTACCATATATATTTTATGGCATGGTCTAGCAATTGCCATGGGATCATGGGATACATTGGGATCAGAACTTGTGTCTACACACTTTACTTAGACCATGTTAGCATCTCATATGGATTATAATAATTTAGATAATGGTAATATATTGTTGTAAAAAGCTCGGTTGTTTGGTTGGTTGCACATACAAGATGGAGGGACGGCGTGATCATAGGAATCTGGCTATGGTTTTTTATTTGGATTTTATAATTCGTAAGTGATTCAAATATAGCTCAGCCAATTAGACTTTTATTAGAAAACCTGTTCATCCAGATTTGAGTCACGACTCAGCACATGGGACACTAGTATTTTTTTACTAATTATTTTTTAGTAGTAGTAGACAATATGTTTATTTTTTTTGAGGCAATAGACAATATGTTTATCAACCATAATACACATAACGACGGTGTTTGTATGTGGTCACAGGGGCGGAGACAGGGGCAAGCAGGGGACATGCCCCCTTATGAATGTGAAATCTCCACTGAATTTTTTGAAATTCAAATAATTTTTGAAAATTTAATACTGTTGGCTCCCTAACATTCAAAAAATTAACTTTCTGACTCCGCCCTTGTGTGATCATCCACGTCTATATTGTGTTCTGCTTGAAATTTGGAGCATGATTAGTTGAGATTAGTTGTGACGATGAGCTTTGAGGTTTGAGATTAGAATTGATTTGGTGGGTTGCCTTCACCAGTAGACCTAGAGAGGAGATTCCAAGAAGAAAGGTAGACTCAGCGAAGGAGATGGGGGTAGGGATAGGTCACGAGGCATGGGTGACATTGTTTTTGGGCTGTGGGAGCTCAAAAATAGGGTGGTTATCGACGGACTAGTCAGTGGAACACAACACTAAAAAGAAGCACTCAACGCTAATAAGGAAGGAGATGATGTTGGGTTTCACATGCCAACGATGATTAGATTGATTACATGAGTAACACTTGATTTGAGACAAAAATGAGATCACATATTGCTAATTGTTATCATACACGCTAGCGGTTTTATAGATCCTCTTCACCTCATGTGCAGAGCCACACGGAGCTTTATAATATGAAGGAGAGAGACCATTGTTATATAATGTGTGTGTGAGAGAGTGTTTTACAATATTATAGAGTTCTCATGACATGCCGTTTCATTACGATAAGTGTTAATACTCTCTTCATCCAAAAAAGAATGTAATTATGGGATCCGTATCGACCAATCTATCTCAAGTTTGACCAAGTTTATAGTAAATTATATTATGCCCCGTTTGATCATTGGAATTAAATTCATTTTAATAATCATAATTTAGACACATATTAATTAAGCTAATATGGTTCTATATAGATTATATTTGTATATTATTGTTGGCTATATGAGAGAGATACTTATATGTGACATTTCTATCGTAGGAGAGTAAGTTGAATAGCGTGTTATATGTGAACTTTAGAATAGGCTTATATGTGAACTTTGGAAACATAGAATGGTGATCAATAGAATCAATTTTCATCTCCCACCCTATGAATTTGGAATAGGCTCATATGTGAACTTTGGAAAGTGGTGGAATGTCAAATTTCAAGCCAAATAGCATAATTTATTAAGTAGATTTTAATTCTTCCAAATAAAAGGATCCAAATGGACCCTTAGTATTTTTGTCTCCAAATAAATTTATTATAAAAATATATTCTATAACTAATCTAATGATACTTATTTTGTATTATAAATGTTAGTATTTTTTATATAAATTTAGTTAAAGTTTAAACTGTTTGACTTTAAAAAAACGAAAATTACATTTTTTTTTAACGGGGGGAGTATATGAGATCGAATAGGAGACGGAATCAGTATAGTCTCTTTATACTAAAATAATGTCTGCTTTAGAGGGAAAAAAAAGCCGTTCAAAAGGTGCCTATGGTCCCATGGTGAAGCTGCCGGCCTGTACGGCCCTAAACACGACTATGTACTGGCATGACAACCATTTTGGATTCAACGATTGGTCTGTTCGCTAGTTGGTTTCTGGGTTAATAAGATCGGTTGGTGCTGGTTTGTTGTGAGAGAAAAATACTATTGGCTGACTGATAAATCCTGACTGAAACCAACAAGCGCTGACTTTGGTCGAAGGAAATGTCAAGGTCATGGTTCATTAATTCAACTCTCTTAGTGGCTGCTTCCCATTTGTTCAATGATTTCCTGGCACAGCCGCGTAAAACAATTCCAAATGTAGCGTGGTTAGTGGAGACCGGTTTAGCAGGCGCTGCTTGGACGTTTTCAACACCTGTGACCGTCCTTTTTTGGCAATCGAGAATTCATCGCTTATATTATCTGGTGTTGACTGATGAACAGTGCAGCACATGGTTTTAAATATTGGGCTAAGCTATTTAGCGGTAGCCGTTATTCAAAAGCACACCCGATCACAACCTATGAGTATATATAGATGCTATCTTTTTTTATCAATGTTTTGTAATCTTGTATTGAATATTTTAGGTACTAAATAAATTTAAATGAAAAAGTTTCCACTACAAAGTTTTAAATCTTGTAAAAGCACTAAAACTTTAATATAGGATGTGTCTCCATTTGAGATCGTTTTGAATTTCTAAAATTTAAATCTCAAAATATGTAAATTTAAAATAAATATTTGACACTCTAAACAACTTCAAATAAAAAAAACTTATCATCAATAAACTTATAGATCGAGTTGGCCACTACAAATTTATTATTAATCATGTGAACATTCAAGATCATTTAGTAATTCTAAATTTTCAATTTCAAAATCTAAGAACATAAAACACATATTTGAACCTCTAAACATCTTCGAATAAAAAACCTTTGAACTATAAAGTAGTAGATTGTATTGATAATAACTACAACGATCGTATAGATAGATCATGTCAACATCTATGGTTGTTTGAAAATTTTAATTTTTAAATTTACTATGAATTTAAAATAATATTTTGGGACTTTAAACCGTTTCAATTCAAAATCTTCTCAATTACACATTATAGATCACGATGAGAGCTATAATTTTGAAATAAATTTCGTCTTCATACAACTATATGAAAAAGTTATGAGTTATTTTTTGATACAACTATTTTTAAAGGTGGGCCTATTAAGATTTCCGTCTCCCCTTAGGATGTCGGTATCTGTTAATCGATTTATAAAGATGGTCGTATTAGCATAGACGGACATCTTAGAATGTCTGTCTCTATAAATGATTAACAAAAATAGGTGTTTTTGGAGGCCACCTGACCATTTACAGCCCCATACCGTCTCCTAAACTTCCTTTTTCTAGTAGTGATACTACCATAGCTCTTGAAGTCATATGTGATGAGACACCCACTGATTCATATTTTTTTCGAGAATTACACGGTACAACATAGATGTTCACAATGCATGCACACTCACATCTATGAACGCATCCATATAGATCATATCCCTATGATCATCTTAAGTTTTTAAGAAATTAATGATGGGTTTTACAGATCTTGACCGATTTTCTAAAGATAATGAGCTAGGTTCCAGGAAAGTCTTGTCCGGATTCAACAAATGTTGAGCTCGGTTGAACATTCACCGGGTAGAGAGTCATATTAGCGTTTAGGCAGATGCTACATTAGTTGTTCGCAAAATTCTTTACACAAGCTGCTAGTATGTGCGATCCTTCCTTGACGAATTGAAGAAACATGAGGACATTAGTGGCTGTTTCCGTCTAAGCAGGGAATGTCATGCAGAATATGACTTCGATAATGACGTAACCTGTTGCTGTTGATGCCATGACTACTTATCGTCGTGGTAAGAACACATGGCTACTACTACTAGGCTACTACAATAGAGTATCAAGTGTCAACAAAGTTGTCTACAAAGGCCCCGTTTAGCAGAGTTCCTAGAGCTGATTCTATGTTGAATTCAGTAGGAGCTCTGTCAAGCAGTTTTTCAGAGAGAAGTGATTCTCTGGTGATTTCGTAAAATGATTCTCTGAAATGAACTAAGAGGCTGAGAGCTGAAAAAAGCAGCTTCTTCTGATTCTGTGAAGTGATTCTCCATCATGATTTCAAGAGTTTATGCTAAAGAATCAAAGAAAATTACTTTCAGCCACAGAATCACTTCTCTTAGAGAATCAGCTTCCTATAATCAGAAGGAGCTCTAAACAGACCAAAACTCTGCATGCATGGGCCGCCTAT